TTTTAGCACTGTTGTTTTGCTAGATCTCAGAAGAATGTCATTGGTATTTTGATAATTCATTGAATTGGTAAATTACTTTTGATAGTATGGACATAATGATATTAATTCTTTCAATCCATGAATGTCATAGATTTTTCCTTTTTTTGGCTTCTATTTCTATTTTTTTGTAGTTTTAATCCCAGAGATCTTTCACCTCCTTTGTTAAATTTATTCCAAGGAACTTAATTTTTTGTAGTTCTTGTGAATGGGTTTGATCTTAGTTCTTTCTAGCCATGGCATTATCTGTTATACAAAGGCTATTGATTTTGCTGCATTAGTTTTATATCCTACAAATGACCAGACTCTTTTCTGAGTTCCAATAGTCTCTTAGTGTATTCTTTCAATTTCACTATATATAGAATCATGTCATCTGTAAACAAGGATACTTTGACTTCCTCCTTGCCAATTTGTATCCCTTTAATTTATTTTTTCTTGCCTAATGTCTCTGACTAAATCTTCCAGGACTGTACTGAATAGCACTGGTGAAAGTGGGTATCTTTTTCTGATTCTGGATCTTAGTAGAAACGCTTCCAACTTTTCCCCATTCAATAAGATGCTTGTTGTGTTGTCATAAATTGCCTTTATTGTGTTGAGGAATGTTTTTTCATTAAGATTTATCATTTATTTGAAAGTCAGAGTTACAGAGTGAGGTAGAGACAGAGAGCTCTTCCATCTGCTGGTTCACCCCTCAGATGGCCACAATGGCTGAAACTGCACTGATCAGAAGCCAGGAGCCAGGTGCTTCCTCCTGGTCTCCCATGTGGGAGCAGGGCCCAAGCACTTGGGCCATTCTCCACTGCCTTCCTGGGCCACAGTAGAGAACTGGACTGGAAGAGAAGCAACCAGGACAGAAACCAGTGCCCCAACTGGGACTGGAACCTGAAGTGCCAGCGCTGCAGGCAGAGGATTAGGCTAGTGAGCCACAGCACTGGCCTGAGATGAAATTTCTTGATGCAGGCACCAATTTCTATAAACTGCAATTTTAACACTGCTTTCACTGTATCCTATAAGTTTTAATATTTTGTATTGTCATCTTCATTTGTTTAGGAATATTTTTATTTCCAATTTGATTTCTTCTGCAATCCACTGTTCATTCAGAAGCATGTTGCTTAGTCTGCATGTGTTTGTGTATTTTCTAGATGTTCTTGAGTTGTTTCTCCATTTTCTCCAGCCCCTAGAGTTTCTGATGAGAAATCAGCTGTGAATGTAATTGAAGGTCCTCTGAAAGTAATCTGGCATGTCTCTTGTATGCATTTTAGAAACTTCTCTTTATATTTTACTGTTAAAAGTTTGACTACAATGTATTGTGATAAGGCGCTTTTCTGGTCCTGTCTATTAGGAGCTCTATGCGCCTTGTGTACTTGGATATCTCTTACTTTCTCCAAATTAGTAAAAATTTCTGTAATTGCTTTACTGAATAGGCCTTTTAAACCGTTCTCTTTCCACACCTTCAGAAACTCTTATGACCCATAATTTGATAGTATCCCATAAATATCTAATATAGCTTTTAATTTTTCTAATTTCATCTTTTTTTTGATCTAAGATATTTCCAAAGATTTGCCTTCTAGCTCAGATATTCTTTCTCTTTCTTCTGCATCAACAAATCTGTTGATAAGGCTTTCCACTATATTTTTCATTTGACATATCAAATTCTTCATTTCTAATATCTGCTTCTCAATTGAAATCTCAATCTCATGGGAAATTCTTTCCTCCATATCATATATAGAATCCTATAATTCATGAGTTTGCTTCTCATTGTTTCTGAGTAATCCTATGATCATTCTTTTGAATTCCCTTTAGGCATTTTCATCAATCATTTTCACATTCTAATATTAAAGTGTTGTGTTCTTTTGGGGGAGTCATGTTGTCTTCTTGTTTCTTGAATTTCTGCATTCATTTTTAAGTATTTGTGGAAATATTTGTTACTTTTCTATTTTGATGGATTTTATTTCTAAACCATACCCCCTTTGGCTTAGTGGAATGACTGTTCTTTCAGTTGATACAGAGACATGTTCTAGGAGTGTCCAGGAAGCTCTGGACAGTGCTCTAGAGTAGGGCAAATATCCAGATTAACACCCAACTTTGGCGTGGTAGATCTCCTCTATTGTCAGCAGGGGGAAGTGTGTGGTCACCTCTGTTGGTATCTTCACATTGTTACCACCTCTCTTCCAAAGTGATCAAACCCAAGGCTTAGACCACCGTGGGTACAAAACTCACTTGTACTACCACATGAACCACACAGCAGATCTGTAAAGTCCTTAATGTGAGCATGGATCCCACTGCTGGGACCCACTGCAGGTAATTGCAGAGCTCTGAGCTTCTGGCCCCAGACATAGTTATTGCCCAGAAACCCAGCTATACATTGTGCCCTATCTTAGAGTCAGAGAATTCTGAGCCACAGCATGCCATGCTCCCACATGGAGAGTGGGAGTGCAGAGGATCAATTCCACCCCACTACGCTGTTCTGTTGACAGAGAGAGCAAAGACGTTTCCAGAGCCAGCTGCTTGTGGGTGCTCCACTTAGAGTTTGAGCCCTGCAGCCTATATGTTGAGATGAAGGGTCACCTCCCAGTTCTACATGGGTGCCTAGGCCCTGTCAAACCTCCCAGCCAGAATCAAAATCAATGAGGAATACACAGTTTTCTCTTTCATAAAATCCCTTGATCATACCCGTGCAGCTGCTACTGGTGTCAAATGGCACCTTCTCCCCACCAGTTGCCAGGTGCCCTTGTGGGGGCATGGGGAGAAAGAATTGCTCTTTTCTTTTGCTGGGTTAGACAGGTACCCTGCCCCCTGTTAGTGCTCCAGGCCAGAATGAAAGACAATGTGATCCTCAAGGTTCTCCCTCTGGCAGTATCACCAGTGGCACAGGCTGCCTCAGTCTCCTGTCACCCCACTCTCCAATGCAGACAAATCCCCCAGCTCTCAACTGCAGGAGTTGTGTGTGGAGTGTGCACTGGTCATTGTGTGTTGGCATCTTCCATGCTGATCCATGGTCTCCCTCTTCCTTCTGCAGGATTTCCAGAGCAAATTTCTCTCTGACTCTCCTCTGCAAATGCACTTCCTCTGCTTTTTGTTGTTGCTGCTGCTGTTTTCCTCTCTTCTAAAGCAGTATGTCTTTTCCCTATTCAGTCACTTAAAATCTTCTTTAGTGTATCTATCTTAAACATTTTTTAAAAGTATGTACTTGCCATGCAGAGAGAGAGACAGAGTGCTCTACTCCCCTTAATAATGCCTCAATGTCTGCCGAGGCTGGGGTAGATGAGGGTTGAAGCCATGAGCTGGAGACTCAATCCAGGGTGACAGAAACCTAATTACTTGAGTCATCACCTGCTGTGTCCCAGAGTCTACACTGAAAGGAAGGTGGAACTGGGAGCCAGAGCTGAGACTCAAACCCAGTCACACCTATGTGAGACATTGGTCACATAACTGGTGTCTTAACTTCTAGACTAGATACCTTCCATCTCTATATTTAATGAGTACAATGCACTAAATATCATGTATATATAAAATATACATACACAAATACACATAAATATTGTGAAATGAGGACTGCAATGAAGCTAATTAACCTAACATCTTCCATACTGAAAGATCTACTCCTTCATTTAGCAAATTCTAACACTATGATATTAGTAACTGTAATCAAATTCTAGGTTAAATCTCAGGAACTCATTCATTCTATTTAAATGAAACTTTGTATACTTTGGCCAACACCTCCCAATATCCTTAAACCCAAGCCTCTGGAAGCACCATTCTACTCTAGTTTCTACGTGCTTGATATTTGTCATGTCTGATGTGATACGTACTTGTTTTTCTGCATCTAGCTTACTTCACTTACTATAATGGGACATCTTTACGGAGTATAGCATAAGAATTCATTATATGTAGACAATTTGTGATGATCAAATCAGGCTGGTTTACATTTCCAGTTCCCTAAATATATTTTATATTCTTTTGATTGATATTAAATATTTTCACAGGTTTGGAGTATAGTGTGATGTGTCAAATATGTATAGTGTACATATGGTCCAAATGAGGACCATTAACATTCCCCCTTCCTTATTATAAGTTTGGAGCCTTTGAGCTACTCCCTTCTATTTATTCTGTTTATTCCTCCTGGATATAATGGGTTATTGTAAACTCCTGGTCTTTCTTTTCCATGTGATGTATGCATATCCCTTGAGTCATTGGCTCCCCAGGTTCATGCTACCCAATGCCAATGGTAGGATCATTGATCAAGAAAGTCAGCGTGTGGTAGGCAATGATGTCTCTTACTATGCTGCATAAGGGATTTGTGACAGGGTGACAAGTACTTTTGTGTACAGGGTGTGTGCTGCTGCATTTAAACATACATTTTTAAGGCTCATGTTGATGATCAATTAAATCTAATAAAGGTCTAGCGCTGCGGCTCAACAGGCACCACCTGCGGTGCCAGCACCCTGGGTTCTAGTCTCTGCTGTAGTGCTGGATTCTGTCCTGGTCACTCCTCTTCCTGTCCAGCTCTCTGCTGTGGCCTGGGAGTGCAGTGGAGGATGGCCCAAGTGCTTGGGCCCTGTACCCACATGGGAGACCAGGAGAGGCACCTGGCTCCTGGCTTTGGATCAGTGCAGTGTGCCAGCCGCAGCAGCCATTGAGGGGTGAGCCAACAGAAAAGGAAGACCTTTCTCTCGTCTCTCTCCCTCACTGTCCACTTTGCCTGTCAAAAAAAAAAAAAAAACCTAATAAAGTTTCTCCCTTTGTCTTGCCTATTTAGGCCAGGTACTGAAAAAGACTGGATTTAACAGAGGTTGACCTTTGCTTTCTGACATGGTGCCACACGCCTCTCAGAATTTGTGAGTTGATGAGGATTTCTGTTTGTGTGTTACAATGCTCATGATGATGCCAAAGCCTGCAATTTGGTGTACCTATTGCTACTTGGATTGTGTGATAAGAGATCAGCTTATAATTATGTACAGCATTTAGGATCTCTGTGGATCTAATAATTCTTGGCACGTAAGTGCTGGGACTCCCTTGCATGGTGGTGCTAGTTATGTCATGGTTCAAAGTTCACTGGAGTCAGAAGGATCAACAGGGGCACTTATTTGCCTCTCTCACTTGGGCCATCAAGGTCTTGGGCAATTTGTGCATGTATCATGTCTGTCTGAGCTGTGGAAATGTAACTTATCTGTCAGACATTAGGCGGGGATAGGGTTGAATGAGTCCATTACATAAAGTTAATTACATAAAATGATCAAATTCTTCTCTATTTTGAGAAGTTAATCTTGAGCTGTGCATAGGAATGCATTTCCTGGGGAAAACACACACACACACACACATACACACACTCATGCACACTTTTAAAAGCATACATGATCACTCATGAAAACTTCACAAAACTGATGCACATAGACCCACACGATCTCTAAATGACACAGCTACTTCCAGGGCCTGCCTTAGATGCCCATAGCTCTGTGCTGGCCTATCTGTTCCTTTCACCACACCTGAGATCTTGTTATCCACCAGGAAGCTGGAATCAGATTGAATCACCAGAAGAGGACAGGCAGGAAGGTCCCACTCTCTCATCCCTTCAGCTTTTCCTCAACAACTGAGGGATTCCAGAACACATACAGTTTTCACTGGATCTTGAGTCCATCTGTTATCAGAGAAAGAAAGTCAAGTCACTATAGGACCACATTCTGTTTGCACAGGTCTCTTTTTCCCTTGCTTACTGTGGGAAACCTGATGCATGATGCAGCTGCCCTCAGATAAAGCATAGATGACACTTGTGTGCAAGACATGACCTTTCACAGGTGACATTGCATGTCCATTTTGCTTGGCAAATACAAGATGCAGTTTTTAAAAAAGATTTTTTACTTATTTGAGAGAGCTACAGATGGTGTGAGAGAGAGACAGAGAGAAAGGTCTTCCTTCTGTTGGTTCACTCTCCAAGTGGCCACAATGCACAGAGCCGTGTTGATCTGAAGCTAGGAGCCAGATGTTTCTTCCTGGTCTCCCATGTGCATGCAGGGTCCCAAGCACTTGGTCCATCTTCTACTGCTTTCCCAGGCCACAGCAGAGAGCTGGACTGGAAGAGGAGCAGCCAAAGAATGAAAAACTGCTACTGAACAAATGCCCTGTACCATATAACTTGTAAATGATGCTGTCATTTTTGAAGACCATCTTGAATCAGGTCACAATTAACAACAGGCATGCACTTCATTTATCTCAAGAAAACTGAGGTAGTCATCTCCAATGTATGTAGTCAGATTTTCATATTTGAGAAAAAACTAATTGTAAACAAAAACATTTCTGTCTCCAAAATAAAGGCACCAATACCTTCACAAAGGATATGGCTTTCTCCTCCACCCTGTCTTTGGGAAGTTCTTGGAGAACACAGGGTAAATGTCAGTAAATTTGCATTGTGGATGAGTTAGGAAGGGACACTTGCATGCAGTGGACATAGAACTAGGCTTTGTGGGGTGGTTGGTGAACAGTGAACAACATGAAAAGTTCTGTGCTGCACTCAGTGACAGAGCAAGAAAAAAACCAGCCCTGCACCCACAAATAATTCAGGAAGGTCAACTGATGCAGGCTCTGAACTGTTCTGGACCATCTGAACTTTGGGACCACCCTCATTGATGGATGAAAGAAGGCCAAGAAGAGGGCTGGGAAATAAATAAGAAATGGAGTCTTGATTTCTTGCCCAAAGCAACCAAATCACTATGAAATAGTCAGTTTAAGATTTTTTTTATTTGAAAGGCAGAGATAGGGAGAGAGGGGAAGGGGGAGAGAGAATCTTCTACCTGCTGGTTCACTCTCCAAATGGTTACAATGGCCAGGGTTAGGCCAGGTAAAACCAGGAGCCCACAGCACAATCTGGGTCTCACATGTGAGTGGCAGGGTCCCAGCACTGGGACCATTCTCCACTGCTTTCTCAGGAACAGGAGCAGGGGGCAGGAACAGCAGCAGCTGGGACTCAAACTGGAGCTCTGATAGACAGAGGCTTTCCTCATCACATGAGAAGGCCCAAGCCAGGAACCTGGACTCCACCCACATCTCCCACACGGTGGCAGGGGAACACAGGCCACTGCTTTCACAGGTGCATTAACAGGGAGCTGGACCAGAATCAAGGCAGTGGAGACTCGACTGGGCACTCTCATAGGAGATGCTGGAGTCACAGGTGTCAGCTTAACCTGCTGCACCACAGCAATGGCCAGAAACTGCCTGCTTCTATCACTGTCTACAGTGAGGTAACAAAGTTCACTGCCCAAGGCATAAAATGTCCATGTCTCATTTCTCTCCTCCTACACCCAGGAAGAGAAAGCAGCTTCTTCTCTTCTTCCTTCCTCTGCCCCAGATCCTGCACCCCTGGCCCAGCAGGCGACTCTACTCACAGCTACTCCACTGCCTCTTGGTAACAGCTGATTCAAGAGGCACCACAGGCAAGCCCAGGGCCCTCCCTGATCCCACCCCACAACACAATTGCTCCAGGGCTGGCTTCCAAGCTCTGAATTCAAGACATGGTCCACAACAAGAACTCAGCGAACACTGGAAATAACATCCAAAAGTAGACTAACATGAAGCGGGAAAACTCGAAAGTGTCTGCAACCCAAGCAACAGACCCAGGGTGAAGACCCTTAACATGTGAAAAGTCCCTACCAATCAACAAGCAAATCAGAAAGAGAAATAAAATCACTGGGTTCGGAAGTATCAATGAATGCATAAAAATGCATTCTGGGGCCAGCACTGTGGTGTAGTGGGCTAAGCTTCTGCCTGCAGCACCAGCATCTAATATCGGTGCCAGTTCTAGTCCCAGCTGCTCCTCTTCTGATCCAGCTCCCTGTTATGGTCTGGGAAAGCAGTAGAAGATGGCACCTATGTGGGAGACCCTGGAAGAAGCTCCTGGATTCTGGCTTCAGATCGGCACAGCCCCAGCTGCTACAGCCATTTGTGGAGTGAAAGAGCAGATGGAAGACCTTTCTCTTTCTCTCCCTCTCTGTAACTCCACCTCTCAAAGAAATAAATAAAATACTTTTTTAAAAAAATGCAGTTGTGTTTCTACGGTCATCTCAATAACAACACTATCACATTTCTACATACCAGAGAGGCAAAAATTCTAAAAATCAATAACATCCAGCAGTGTCAGGATAGAAGAAATTATTTTCTTTTTTCCTATTTTTTCAATTTAGACAAAGTAATATATGCTCATTTTCAGTAGTCAAAAAATGCAAAAAAACTGTTAACGTATTTTCAAAGAGACACATGCACTGATTTGTTTTCCTGATACCATACCATATAAATGTGTTTGTGATTCTGCAAATGAACTATTTAAATACCTTGGAGAAATTTCAATGGCAGCAGAGATCAATCTCAAGCTTCCTCCAGCTGAATTCCTCCACACAGGTGTGCTCAAATGTATTCCACCAAGACTTGGCCAGAGGAATCTGCTTCCAGACTGCTTTCCCCCAGTGTTAACACACAGCTGAGCATTCTGACACATGCCTCTGTGGGATGGGTCCCTGGGAAGGGACTTGCTGAGGCCAAGGCAGCACAGCACAGCAGGTTCCCACATCCTCACGTTTCCAAGTTCTGCTGTTCTAGCCCTTCTCAGGTGAGGACTTGGAGGTTAGCGCTTGCCCTGGGGTCAGGTGATGGCTGAGCCCAATCCTCAACACTTCTCCCATGCTTGCTAGCTGGTGGACACTCTTGACTTAGCAATTGCTGCCGAAGTGGTCAGCAGGGAAAAGCAGCAAGTGGGGGGAAGGCTGAGACAAGGACATGAAGCCACTCCCTCCCCATTCACAATGTCATAAAACTCCCTGTGCAGAACCAGGCAACTGAGCTTCCATGGTCATGGGGGTGCGGGGTGCAGCCCTCACAGGAGAGGCCACATGTAGGAAGTCTGATGTGTAATGTGCAGGCCTGGACCTGCCCCCAGCATCACACAAGAGAGGAGACGAGCGGGCCATGCAGACAAGCCCTGCCCTCCATCCGAGAAGAAACACCAGAAATGGCGAGAGGGGAGGGGATTGGCACTGTTGGCCCCAGACCATGCCCCCAGTGACCACCTGAGTCCTTGGGGACACCCTGGGGACAGCAGGCATGGGGCCCACCTGGGGCGCCCCACTGAGCAGCAGCCTGGGGGTGGGGGAGTTGTCCATGCAACCCTCGCCCGGTTGCCGTAATCCATGTGGCTGGGCTGTGGCACCGTCCACTGCTGGTAGTACAGGGACTGCTCTGTGGACGTCATGGTCTTGCTGAGTAGCGGGCGGAAGAAGCTGGCCCACATGACCGAGGGGGAGGGCAGCAGTGAGGCAGCCTTGGGCAGGCTGCTGCTGTCAGTGGCCAGGACCATGTCTGCAGGAGCTTGGGCAGGAAGACGATGGGCGGCGGCTGGCAAGCCTTGGCCAGGGAGCACTGTGGGGCCTGCAGGATGAGGGCGCTGCTGGCGGTGGCCGTGGACAAGGAGCACGAGCCCAAGGAGGACGGCTAGCCAGATGAGGTGACCTCCACGTGCAGGCTGCTCCACCCAGGGCTGTGTGTGCTGGCTGCGGGTGGGGGATCCTGGCTCACCTGGCTCCCCTGCTTCTCCCTGGGGACCCTGCCCTCCTCAGAAGGGCAGCTGGGCAGGGGTGAGCTGGCCTGCTTTCTCTGCAGGGGCCCCACAGGCAGAGCCCCAGGCTTGCCAATGAGCGTGGAAGCTGAGGAGAGAACACCGGTCAGGCACGTCCCATGGGAACCTGTGCAGAGCCTATGCAAAGCCTGCCAGCTGCTCCCATGTCTACCCAACTCCCTGAGCTGTTTCTGGTGGCAGGAAGTAGCCCACTGGTCGGGGGCTTGGAGCCTGCTGGTCATGGCACCGGGCCGGCCACCCAGCTCACGGCTACCCATGGGCCAAGTTAGCCAAGAAGAAGAAAGGCAGCCAAAGGCCCCCCTGGGCCCTGCCTCAGGTCATGCAACAGGGTTTCCCAGTGGCCCCCAGCCAGCACCTTGCACCCCAGGCTGGAGCTGCTGGAACTCCCAGAGCCCAGGCCCTGCACCCCTGCCCTTCAGCAGCTCCTCTGCCCAGGAAGCTCTCCTACTTGGGCCACTTCCTCCAGGGCCAGGCCAGGGGACACTTAGGGCAAGGGCCAGGGGAGGAGTTTTTGTTCACAGCCCTTCTCCTCTCTGCCAAACTCGGTCTTCGGCCTGAGGCCACAAGTCCTAGCAGCGAAGCCTCCCATGTCTATTCACCTGGACAGGGGACACCTCATCCTCACCCCTACTCCCAGCATAGGTGCTTCCCAAATCAGTAGCTTCACTGAGGACATGGCCACCACTCCCAAGATGGCCCTGGCCAGGGGCAGACCCCATGGTCCTCTCTGGGCCCAGCCCTCCCCAAAGCATCCAAGCCCTTGGATCCCAAGTTCACTCCTGGGCTGCTCCCTGGAGGACCCATGTCTTCAGAGTCTCCCTCCTTTTTCAGGACCCCATGGAGTTACACCAGTGCCAGCGAAAAACACCTCCCTGTGTCTTCATTCTTGGAAACCTCAGCCCTCACCCAGCTCCGACCCCTGCACGGGAACTCACCGGATGCCGTGGAGGACAGGGGTGAGGACGCTGAGTCCTGGGAGCAGGGCCTTTCCATTGTCACCGGGCTTACTCACTCCCAGGTAGAGCCTGCTTCAAAGCATACAGGCGCTGGAAAGGTGTGGGCAGCTGTGAACCTGCTGCACGCCCAGCCCTTCACACATCATCTCCTCTCCCCCTACCCACTGCTGGAGCATGGAGGTGGCAGAATGAGAGATGTGGAGGTGGCCATGGGTGCTCCCAGACCATAGGCTCCCACCCAGGTGGTGCAGCTCAGAGGAGGACCACGTGATCAGCAGGTGGTGCTGCAGCCATCTCATCCCACTCCACAAAGGCCTTGCATTTTTCATGTGCTTGGCCTTCTCATCCCCCTTGGCCACAGCCAAACACCCTCTGCCACTCTCATTTGTGTGGTCTATGGGAGACCCAGTGTTGGGCTGCCAAAGGCTGCAAAGGAGACCAGCCAGCTCGCATAAACTGCGGTCATGGACAGCACAATGGTGGCTCCGTTGGTGTAGGGGCAGAGAAAGAGGGAGCCCCACACGGGAAGGAATGCAGCTAACAATAGTCTCAGCCTAGCCCTAGGAAACCTCAACGTCCTTCTCAGCCTCCAAGAGTTCTAGGGCGAGAAAGAACCCACGGGGACTTCCTACTCACCCCACCAAAACATGGGAGCAAAACGTGAATTGAGCGAGCGCTGCTCTGGAGGCTCCCAGCCCCACGACCACGTGGCAGGGACCCCAGGGGGACAGGTGGGCCTCACCTTCAGTCCCTGGCTCCTCCTCCTTGTTGTCTGTGCTGCTCAGCTTCTCCGTGTCACTCTCCAAGTCCTCACTCCTGGGCCCCTTGTCCGAGGGCAGCTCGCTGCTCACAAAGTGGGCGGCCAGGCCCAGCTCCTGCTCCAAAGCCATTCTTGCCAAGCATGAGGAGTTGATCTGGTGCAGAGACCAAGGAGGCAGGCACAGCCTTAGGGAGTGCCCTGTGCAGAGCAGGCACCCAGTGGCTGGGGACCGCTGACCTCCTCCTTGTGATGGCAGGACCAGTGCCCATGGGAAGACAACCATGCTTCTGTGAGCCTTCACAGCAATGCCAGCTTGCCGGCAAGGCTCTGGGGTGCCTGCTGCATTTCCAACTTGGCTGCATGTGATTGAAAGAGCAATGATTTTAGGGTCAGGCAACACAGGGCTGGAATCCAGCTCGGCCACATCCACATGACAGAACCTTCTATAACTATGCAAGTTCTTTGAGGCTTTGATTTTAAAAGATCTGCTTATTTACTTGAAAGGCAGAGTTTCAGAGAGAGAGGGAGAGAGATATCTTCCATCTTCTGGCTCATTCCCCAGAATGGCCACAGTGGCCAGGGTTGGGCCAGGCCAAAGCCAAGAGCCTGGAACTCCATCCAGGTCTCCAACGTGGGTGCAGGGAGTTCAGCAGCAGCCCCACCCCTAACCCACAGGTGCCTTTCTGAGAAGTGGGAAAAAGCTGCTTGTGCTTCTGATGAATATCACTGCCATCTGCTGGAAGCTCCTAAGAATTACACCACCTACCATGACCATAGCTGACAGTGAAGGGCGCCACCTGGAGCCAGGCCGTGGTAACACAAGGACTCCCTGAGCTGGTCCACCCCACTGAGGAAGAGGATGCAAGGCAGGCCCTCCAATTCCAGGTAGGTCTGGGCTCTCCATGCTGCATCCTCGATGTTCTGCCACATCTGCAGATAGTTAGAAAGAGATGAGGTCCAGAGGCTCCTTCCTCCCCCCGGGCCCAGCTGCCCAGGACCCGCATGTTCTCTGAATGATTTAAAGCCCTCACCATGCAGCACTCTGCACTGCAGACAAGCACGCCGTCCACTTTGTTTCCCATTAGGTGTGAGCGTCCTATCCCTTTCTGTACTTTATTCATTAATTTTAGAGGCAGGGAGGCAGAAGAGGGGGTTAGGATGGGGGAAGATAAAGAGTGTGCTCCCCCACCCACCAGTTCCCTCACCAAACACCTACAATGGTGGGGGCTGGGCTGGGCCAGGCAGAAGCTCAATTGAGGTCTCCCATGTGGGTGGCAGAAACCCAGTCAGTTGAGCTCTCACCACGGCCAGGTACTCCAATGTGGGATACAAGCACCAACCACTAGGTTAGACGCCCAGTCATGCCCTATTCTTGAACATGCTAACTGGGCAGTCTGAGAGTGTCCATTCACAGTTCTCTGGGAGGGAGGACCTGTGGGTTCTGTCCTATGGCTCACTGTTCTGTCATGTGCTACTCACTTGTTCATTCAACACCTGCTCCCTAACCTCTACATTCTCTCCAGGCCTAGTGACAACTCTGATGGGTAAGGAATTGTGCTAGGCTTCCAGGCAAGCCATGAGGGCTAGTCTTTGTCCCCAGTGCCTGGAGGAGGGGTGGGGACTGCAGGGACCTGGGCCCAGCCCCAGCAGTGGGGGAGGGTGTCCTTGTGAAAGGGGAAATGACATTGAGCTGGGTCCCGCAGCAGAAGGAGAAATGCACCCCAGGATGCAGGAAAAGCTGGGACAACCCTAGGGGTGTGAAAAAGGTGGCCCCGGGTCCAGGGAAGCAGCATGGAGAGCTGCACAGTGGAGAAGTGGCCCTGGGATGGAGGGGTGGTGGGGTCCCAGGAGACCAGCAGGCATCCGTGGCGCCCACCATTAGCTGCTTTACAAAGTGCTTGCTCACCATGATGCCCATGCTGGGGGTGCCCTGGATGATCCGGAAGTACTCCTGCAGTGCCAGGCACGCACACACATGGGCCAGGGACTCCTAGGCCATGGTGGCCAGCGGCGCACAGGGCACGTGCATCAGCACCATGAGCCCGTGTCCACAGGGGCATTGTGCAGAAGCACGCAGCAGGTGCTGTGTGATCCCAGCTTCTCCACTGACACGTTTCCTCCTCTGCGGCAGGCCGCTCCCGGCCATCAGCACTGCTGCCTAGTGCTGCAGAACAAAGGTCTGGATTGCCACATTGTGCAGCTGGGGAATCAGACACACGGATGTGGTGTGTCTTTGTGCTTCCCAGCCCCTGGTGCCCCGAAGCAGCATACTCAGCACGTGCAGTGAGCAAACGGATGGAGGAAGGAAGGGCCTGTGCAGCTCTCAATGGCTTCCGGAAGGCTCCCCAAGGAGGCAGGTGAAGCTCCCAGGGCTCCCCCTAGCATCAGGAGAGCCTGCAGCCACCAACAGGCAGAGGCAGCCCCTGCCCCTCAGACCCAGGGCCCATCTTCCACACACTGCTTTGTTTCCATTACAGGAGTCACGTTTAACAGATGAGTCTTAGAACACATGAAGTCAAGCTGACAGTTACCATGCATCCCCACAGAGCTGGTGGCTCCAGGAACAGCTCTGACCCACACATCAGGAACAGGCCCCAGGTCCTGCTGGAAAAACCCAGGTCCTCCTGGGTCACTGTGTGCCTCCCAGGAGCATACAAATATATGTGCTCCGTTTTTTTTGAAAAGATTTATTATTTATCTGGAAGGCAGAATTACAAATAGAGGGAGAAGGAGACACACACACACACACACACACACAGATCTTCTATCCACTGGTTTACTCCCCAAATGGCTGCAATGGCCAGGGCTGGGCCAGACCAAAGCCAGGAGCCAGGAGCCAGGAGCTTCTTCCGGGTCTCCCACGTGGGTGCAGGGGCCCAAGAACTTCTGCCATCTTCCACTGCCTTCCCAGGCCATTATCATGGAGCTGGACCAAAAGTGGAGCAGCCAGGTCTGGAACCCATGCCTATATGGGATGCTGGCATCACAGATGGCGGCTTAACTTGCTATGCCACAGTGGCAGACCCAGACATCCAGTTTCCAAACAGTGCCCTTGTGAGTTCCTGTAGCTGGAGTGAGTCCCCCTGAACCTGTAAAGCTAGGAATCATGCAGTAGCCAGGCACTTGTATGTGCTCTTGCGGCAGCCAGCTGACGCCTGGATGACACTTCTGCTCCCTCCTCTTCTTCATTCTTCCCTGAGCAGGGCAGCTGCTTTGGGGTTTTTTTTTGGGGGGGGGGTTGTAAACTGGAAGCCTGGCCTAGTGGACTTGCCAGGACTTAGCACGGTTCCAGGAGGGCATAAGTGGTTCATGGGGTCTGGCACAAAGGGGACTCAGTGGCCCAGGGACTTCTTACCCTGCCCCTGGTGCCCAGGCAGATGGCATGGAGGGAGGGAAGGACAGAGGGGGTGGGTTAACTCTCTTCTGCTCAAGGGCAAGCTGAGACTTCCACTTCTGGCCATAACAGAGTTGCAGGGATCAGGTTTATCCTCCCAGGGGGTGGAACAATGGTGTGGCAAGACCTTGGTTATCCGAGCCTCCAGCCCCTGCCTGCTCAGGAAGGGAGAACCCAGGCAAAGCCCAGGGGTCTCCCCGAGATGAGCTGAGATGTCAGATTCCAGGGAAACCAAGGCAGCTGCGTGGCACAGCCAGAGTGCCAAGGAGGAGAGAGCTGCGTAGACAAGGAGAGCTCCAGAGATCTGCAGCGCCCACCCCCTCGAGTCTTCAGCTGAGCTGTGGTCAGCACTGGTAGGTGAGGAGGCTGCCCAAGGCAAGGAAAGGATGTGCTGCTGTGAGCCCCCGGGGTTGGAGGCAGTCCCTCTTCCCTCCTGAGATGTGGAAGACCTCAGAGGCAGGAGACACTGCCTGCTGCTCTGCTCCTGCCTGGCAATGTTCAGCAGCAAGGATTGAACTGTTCCAAGCATCTTCACTGTATTCCAGGAAGAAAAACCAAAACTCACTATTTCTAAGAATACCAACATATGTAACACCCAATAAGGTAAACTTCACAATGACTAGCACCCTCTCAAAAATGATCAGATAAAAAAAGCAACAGAAAAAACAAGCCTAAGGAAGAGGAGGCAAGCCAGTCAACAGAAACCAACCCAGAAATGCTACAGGTGAATCAGCAGACAGGAAACCTAACACAAGCACCCTGCCTGCGTTCTGTATTCAAATAACTAGAGGAAAAATGGAATGTGCTAAGTGGAGATGTCTTTAAAAAAACAAATTACAGAGGTGAAAGCTATTTCTAAATAGGACCCTGAGTTCTCCCCAGGAGCCGTTGTCTCTGTCCATGGTCTCACCCTGCCAGCCACAATAAGCTGGCTCAGGAATGGGAACCTGACCCAACAAGGGCCAACAACATCTTTCCAGGATTATTCCCCCTGAAGAAGTCAAAGACTGTGAGGTCCACTGACAACCACAGGCAATGCTTTTCAGTCCCTGGACGATGCCCATGGGTATAAGCTATGTATAGTAAAGCCAGCCCAGAGATAGCCAAGGCAGGATGGCACTGTTGTGACAATGGGTGAACACCTAACACAACTACTCTCAGAACCATCAGTGGCTCTGCTTAGCCTTTTACTTCATGAGCCAATACATCCCTGTTCTTCCTAAAGAGTTCAAGCTTGGTGGTAGGGTGGGGGCAGCACTGCAGCATAGCAGGTTAAGCCTCCACCTGCAGGGCCGGCATCCCATATGGATGCCAGTTCCAGTCCCAACTGCTCCACTTCTGATCCAGCTCCCTGCTAATGCACCTGGGAAAGCAGCAGAAGATGGCCCAGGTGCTTGGGCCTCTGTACCTGCATGGGAGACCTGGAAGAAGCTCCTGACTCCTGGCTTGACCCTGGTCCAGCTCTGGCTGTTTCAGTGATTTGGAGAGTGAAACATTGGATGGAAGCTCTCTCTCTCTGTAATTCTGCCTTTCAAATAAATAATTAAATATTTTTTAAAAATTAATAAACTTGAAAACAGCAGCAGAAACCAAACTGACTGAGGAAAAAATGAAATGGAGGCAGGGACCCAGCTTCAAGCAGCCTGATCCTTGTGTGATTGTTTTCCTCTCTGATAGAGGTTGTTGGGAGACAGAAAGGCTGAACTTTTGAAGAAAGGCTGAACTTGCTCAAATGCGATGAAAACTCAAGCACAAGAAAGATGAAGAGAATTATGCCCAGCCATGCCGAGCTTGTATGGCTTTAAATGAGTGAATGTTTTAAAAGCTTCCAAGCCACCAACAGGGACAGGGGAGACAGCAGAGAGACACAGCAGGGATGATGTTTCTGGACTGAAATGACGCAAGACAGAAGACAGCAAAATAGCATCTCTAACGTACTAACAGAAAAAGTCGGTCCAGCACTTATGAGGCCTTCCAGGGAAAATCGCTCTTGAAGATGAGGCAAAGACAGACTTTTTCAGACATACAATAGCTGAACAAATTCATCACTAGCTGACCTGCTCTATAAGGAATGTTAAATGAAGGCCTTAAGACAAGGAGGAGACTGAGCTGTGGTGTAGCGTCAAGTCTCTGCTGGTGACACCGACATCCAGTGACACCAGAAGATAGCCCAGGTGTTTGGGCCCCTGCTACCCAAGTGGAAGACCTGGAAGAAGCTCCTCGCAGCCATCTGGAGATTTAACCAGTGATGTAAGTCCTCTCTGACTTTCAAATAAATTAAATCATTTTTTACAAATGTGCAAAATGGAATTAAAAGACCAGGTTTTTTGGTGCAAAAAAAAAATGAAATCCACTCACACTTTTCTTCCCACTACCTATTCTTTTTAAACTTTTCAAAGTCTCCTCAAATGCATGGACTCTAGAGTTTACTTTGGTACAAAAAGAATTTATCTTTTAATTCCATTTTCCACAAAATTTTGAACACTCTCATAAGCTGCTGAAAGAATCTTAAACATGACCTGAGGGCACAGTGTGGTTAGATGTAAACCATACATGTAAGGCAGCCATGAGAGAGTGCAGCAGTTTGTATCAGGTAGTATAAATTATCTAGAGATGATTTAAAGTATACTTGAGAATGTGCATAGGTTCTATGCAAATACTGTACAATTTTCCATAAGGACTTGAGCATCCATGGATTTTGATAATTGCTGAGGTTCTGGAAACACCCCCTCATGGACATGGTTGGATGACTGTATTTATCTTACAAAAATAGTATCATATTATCTCCAAAATTTTGTGTCTGTGAGTGTGCATGCCTAAATAATATCATGGTGTTCTTTGCACATTTTTTAAGAAAACTTTTATTTAATAAATATAAATTTTGAGGGGCGGTTCCAAGATGGCGCACTAGGGAGGGAGCTTACTGATCTAGTCCAGGAGAAGATACTTTAATAAAAGTGGAGATAGTGTAGTTTCAGGGAAGAGTTAGGGTAAAAATGGCAGAGGAAACTCCTCCGTAATTGGAGGGACACGGTGTACCTACGTGGAAAGTGTGGGCGTCCACGGCTCAGGACTCCAGCAGCTGAGAGCCTGCGCACCAGTGCTGGAAAGTGAGGTGAGACAAGACCACAGTAGCCCAAGACAATGGCAGAAAAGTGGCAGGAAGTGCCTAGAGGGAATGAAGCTTGAAGCCTCATGGGAGAAAGTACACCAGCCTAACTATAAAAGGGGAGGTACAAACACGATTCTCTCTCTCCTGTCACCTTACAAAGGCCCAATCACCTTACAAATGCATATGGGCCAATAGAGCAGGCACCATTTTGGACATATACAGCAGCTGTGCCAGCTTGTTGTCTGAGCCCAGCAATCAGCCAAGCAGAGAAACCTGACTCTGGTGGGGAGTAATAGCAGGCAAATAAGACCTGGGGATTGTGTGGAGCTTCTGAACTGGGACTGTGAAAAAAAAATTGAGAGTGTGTGGGAGAACTCACAGTGTGGCTGAGACTTTGAGTAGTCTCAGTGGGAGATGCCACAAGCTTGGGCAGTCCTGGCTACCTGGTGAGAGACAGTGCTGGGGAATCTGATCTTACACTGAGGACTACACAGACCCTTTGTATGGTCCTTGGGACAGAGAAGATGGATATTAGATCCACTGGGGCTAGCCCTCACGTACTGATCACCATCAAGA